GGTTTATTGGAGATAAGAGTCTCACGGTCTTTCCTGCCCAGGCTGGCTTTCAACCATGATCCTCAGATCTCAGCCTCCTGAGTAGCTAGATTATAGGCATGAGCCACTGGCACCTGGATGCTTTTTAAAAATTATTATTATTATTTTTTGTAGTATTAGGGTTTGAACTCAGTGCCTTATCCTCTTACTTAGATGTTTTGCTCTTTGCTGGTACTCTACCACTTGAACCACTCCTCCAGTTCTGTCTTTTGCTGGTTAATTACAGGTAGAATGTTTTGGACTTTTCTGCTTGGACTGGCTTCAATCCTCCATCCTCCAAATCTTACTCTCCTGAGTAGCTAGGATTACAAACTATGAGCCAACCAGTGTTCTGACACTGCCTCACCTCCTTTATTTTAAAGCTTTTAGGCATCTGAGCCTATTTTTAAATCCAGAATAAAACTTGAGTTGGTGTAATCTCCTAGGGACAATATTACACCAGATGTGCACAGAGCTTTTAAAAACTGTCACTGATAGTTTCATTTGTGCAGTACCTAAAATGTGTTAGGTATTTCACGTTTCTGTTTAATCTCTGTGACAATTCCATGAGTTAGTTCTCATTTCCTGAATGAAGTACCCTGGAAGAAAACATTTAATTTAATTAAGATTCCAGGTAAAATCACCAGTAAGCAGCAAAACAATAGTTTGTATTCAGGTCTAACACATTTCAAAGCTTTTTTTTTTTTTTTCTCTTTTTCTGTTCCTGGGGTTTGAACTCAGGGCCTGGGTGCTGTTCCTGAGCTGTTTTATTCAAGGCTACACTTGTTCAAAGCTACACTTCTGACTTTGCTTTGGAGATAAGAGGCTCAGGGACTTTTCTGCCTGGGCTAGCTTTGAATAGCAGTCCTCTGAGATTCAGTAGCTAGGATTAAAGGTATGAGCCACCACACTCCACAAGCTTGTTTTTTTTTTTTTTCCTTTTTAAACCATTGTGCCATACGATAGTTCTGCATTTCTTCCCCCCATTTTTTTTTTCTGCCGGTCTTGGGGCTTGAACTCAGAGCCTGGACATTGTCCCTGAGCTTCTTTTGCTCAAGGCTAGCGCTCTACCACTACTTCCGGCATTTTTCTGTTTATGTGGTTCTGAGGAATTGAACCCAGGGCTTCATGCATGCTAGGCAAGCACTCTACCATTAAGGCACATTCCCAGCCCCTTCTTTGGGCTTCTTATAGTGCCCCAGAGTACTGAGTCTCTGTCTTTGCCTTGATCCAGAGGTTCCCACTTGCTATGTATTGTAGTAGTTAAGTAAGTGATGCAGGCAAGCACTTGGAGCAGTATATAATGTGCCTCAATCTACAACCTTGGGTATTTATTATTGGAGAGGAGGCATGCATGCCCATGAGACCATCAACCCACCCAAATTCACAAAAGTTCCACATATTACTCATTATATTTGGCTTTCCTCTAGCTCCCCCCCCCCTTCTCTTGGATCAAATTAACTTTTGACAGATGTTTGGAAAATCATCTTATCCTGTAATTCGTATTTATAAATCCTGTTGCTGCAGTGTGGTCCCCATTCTCTCTCTTCACTGAAGCCAGAAAATAATCTGGGAAAATGCCACATTTCCTGTTATGAGTTTGGAGGTTCTTGTCTTTTTAGCACAAGTTCTGAGCTTTTGAGAGTCTTAATACTGGAAGATTGAAAGCCAAGCATGCTTTTTTCATATGGATGTTTTAGATTCTTCAAAAGTAAACAGAAACAGCTTTAGATTTGTTCTTACCAGGGGATTGGAGTTCAACATTTTGTTATGTTTCAAATTTTGAAAACTCATTCTTACTATTCTCTTTTAGAATAGATTTATAATGAGGACATTCTTGACTTTCATTTTCTCCTGATAAGTCAGTTTCAGTTTAAGCTATTCTTTTTTTGGTGTCAGTCCTGGGGCTTGAACTCAGGGCCTGGATGCTGTCCTTGAGCTTTTCTGTTCAAGGCTAGTGCTCTGCCACTTGAATCACAGCTCCATCCTGGCTTTTTGGTAGTTAATTGGACATAAGGGTCTCATGGATTTTCCTGGTTATGCTGGCTTTGAACTACACTTCTCAGTTCTCAGCCTCTTAAGTAGCTAGGATTATTCTTTTACCAGCTAGGGACTACTGCCACCAGCCCTTTCTTTCTACTCTTGCCAGTTAGCTTGCTATCACTCTTCCCTTCTCTCTCTCCTCACTTGTGCTGGCTTCTCTCACATTCAGCAATTTGCACCACCCTCTCTCCCCCCCCACCCCCACAATTGGCATAGTGAATTCTTTTCTAAGAGTGAATGAAGTCTACTAGGATCATATTTATACTAGGATCATCTCATCCTTATCAGGGCTCTGTTGTAAAAGAGATTTCCCTTTCTGTCTTTCTGTTATGGCATGGCAAATGAAGTTCCTGAGTCACATCATCCTTGGGAGTGTGTGATTATAATTGTGATTGCCCACTGACCTGCGAACAAGAACCTTTTCTTTCCTGTTGATTCGAGTTTCAACAAAAGGAACTAATTTTAGCTTTCAGATCCTTACATTTTTGCTTCATTGCCGTCTTTCTATTGCTCACTGCTTCTCACTGTTTGGGAAGAGGAAAAGCAAGTCTACAATTGTGGCCAAGTGAAGGGAATGCTCTTATTGAGCTCGGCGTGTAGGAAGAGGTCTCACCTTCTCTCTTTAACAGCTCAGCATCTGGGCTTCATCAGAACTCAGGCTCAGCGTGTCCAAGGCCTGCTGATGCTTAGCAGAGATACTTGCACAGTTTTCTCAGTTTAAACTTGGCTAACACTTAAAAGTGTATTAATGTCTAGGAATATACTGGCTCACAGGCTGGCTGTTGATTCATCAGGTAGCTATTTTAGGAGTTGTCATACAAATAAATACTTTGTTTTAAAAAAAATACATTCACTGCATCTGAAAATGTGCCCAGGTAGAAGAATGAGCCATTGTTTTGTTTTGTTTTCCTTACCCATCCTGACTTGTTATTGTCTCTGATAAAGTGGAGAATGGTTTTATGCAGAAGCTCACTTTGCATGTATGTAAAGCTCACTTACAATTTGAGGCATAGAGCACTATGGGAAATGTTGGGACTGCTTTCAGTGGATCCCTTGAACTAGTTCTCCCAGCTTTGCTTGGGCCCTTTCCCTTCTCCTTCCAACATTGTACTTAGATGTTTTACATCTCTTCTTAGTCTACATTTCCAGTGCAGAGTTCTATACAGCTGGACATAGGATGAGTGTCTGGGCTCAGAGTCTCCTGCAGTCATGGGTGCAGGCTGAACCTAATTCTCTTCTCAGAATGCTTTCTCCAATTGTGTGCCTTTCTTTAGTCAAGGTTTCCAGTTTCCATCCTCCTTTTCAAGTCAGCTCAGACGAGTCATCCTGGATCTTTTTTTCTCTTGAAATTGCTACTGATAGTGGCTGCCATGTAACCACTTCATTACTGGGTTTTGACATTTCTAAAATGTTAATAATATTCCTCCTTTTCTTCAAATCAGTAACATTTACCCTTAGTAATTAATGGTGTGCAATCTTTCTATAATCTTGACTCCTTACGTTTAAACACCACATCCTTAATATTTTCTTATGCTAAAATATGTCCTTGTCAGCCTTAGCATAGACACATTTCCATAGAAAGGCTTTTTAAAAATCCTGTGACATATCTCCTATGTTCCTATGTGTCTCTTTTATGCTCCAATAATACCTGGCATTACATTTCCCTCATCTTCATCTTATTTATTCCATCAGAATCTTCATTCTGATTTCCCATTTGCTCCCCTCTCTTTCCTATGCTGTGTGAAGGTGGGGAGAGTGTTTGTCTTTACTAGAATTTACCCCTGTTGCTTAGCGCTATGACTGCTGTTGAATGAGTGCATGCAGTTTCTATAGCAGTGGATCAATGGAAGTTCTATTGGGATATTCCACTGACTTGTCATCTTAGTATATAGCCTACTACTTAGAAATTCTAATTCTTGGGGCTGGGAAGGTGGCTCAGTGGTAGAGCACTTGTCTCGCATGCATGAGGCCCCGGGTTCGATTCCTCAGCACCACATAAGCAAAAAGGAAAAAAAAGCCAGAAGTGGCGCTGTGGCTCAAGTGGTAGAGTGCTAGCCTTGAGCTGAAGAGCTGGGGACAGGGCCCAGGCCCAGAGTTCAGGCCTCACGACTGGAAACCACCCCCCCAAAAAAAAAAAAAAGAAAAGATTTTAATTTTAGTTCTTTGTTTTCCAGCTCTTTCCCCCCTTTCTCCTGCCGCCCTTCCTGGTTTTTATGAGACAGGGTGTTATTAGATAGCCCAGGCTTGCCTTGATCTTGTGATCCTTCTTTCTCTGCTTTACTGATTGCTGGGATTATTCTGGGATTAAAGGATGGGCACAGCTAGGTCTTTAATATTTTAGTTATGTTCCTCCTGCTGTTGAGTGTTTGTTAGTTAAATCAGTTGTATCTCAAAGAGAACTGGTATGCAGACAATTAAGACTATGATATTATTTTCTTTAACTGTTTTCTTGAAAACAGGAAAATATTCATATTTTATGTTTGTTTTTGAAGGCTTCATATTAAAGCATTCATACAGACTTACTTGCTTATTTCCTTTGAGATCAGAGCATGCCTCTGAATCCCCTGTCCTTCCCACAGCTGTTCTGACACCCTTCAGAGATGCTTCTGAAAAATAATTTTCCAAATGTGTCTGGAAAATTATATGTAAATACAACCTGGAATCTTGAGGTACTTTTGTGAGACCTTTGACTAAAGAAGTAAATGCTCCAACAATCACCTGTTTTTTGTTTTTGATTTTTACAATTGGCTAATTTGTTTTCTGCTAGTTTGTTTAGATATAGTCAGCCTGTTTCTCAGCATTGAAATGAGTCCTGTTTCTCCAATACATTCAAGTGTGATTGGAAGTGCAAAGCCCCGAGTTGAAACAACAGTATAAGCAAAACCCCCCAAATACATGACTGGAATGAGAACTAATTGTGTGCTTTCCTCCTTTCTTAGATTCATGCCCGAAACCAAAATGAAATAATTTTTGGGCTAAATGATGGCTACTACGGTGCTCCCTTAGAACATAAGGTAAGAGGATTCTCTTAATGTTGTGGGGTTTGGTTACTGCAGGTGTGCCTGTCACCTGGGTTGATAGAATCCTGAGACGCTCTCTGTAAACACAATTATGTTTTATAAAGGATCTCTGTAAGACTTGTTTACTGTGTTGTAAGATATAAAGCCATTCCAACAAACTTGTCCAAATTCAGAAACATTGAACTTATACCTTGCATTCTCTCAGACCACAAGGGAATAAAATTAGAACTCAACACCAAAAGCCACCAAAGAAACTCCTGTAACAAATGGAGGCTGAACAACACAGTGCTGAATCATGAGTGGGTGATGGAAGAGATTAGAAAGGAAATTCAAATGTTCATGATATTCAGCAAAAATGAACATACAAACTACCAACTCCTCTGGGACACAGCAAAGGCAGTACTCAGGGGCAAGTTTATAGCTCTGAGTTCCTACATCAACAAATTGGAGAGATCTGAAACCAACAATTTAATGAGGCATCTGAGCCTCCTTGAAAAAGAGCAGCAAGATAAACCCAATACAGTAGATGGAAAGAAAGAATTAGAATTAAATCAGAATTAAATGAATTAGAATAAAAAAAACCATAGAAAGAATCAATAAAATAGAGTTGGTTCTTTGAAAAAATTAACAAAATTGACAGACCCTTAGCAAATCTTACTAGAAAAAGAAGAGAACACACAGAGATAAATAAATTCAGAGATGAGAATGGAAACATAACCATAGAAACAAAAAAGATTCAGAACATTATATGGGACTACTTCTCAAAACTTTATGCTAATATGTTTGAGAACTTGGCAGAAATGGACCTTTTCCTAGCAAATATTGAACTGCTGAAACTAAACCAAGATGAGTTAAACCATCTTAACAGGCCCATATCAAGTATTGAAATAGAAACAGCAATAAGAGACCTCTGATCTAAGAAAAGCCCAGGACCAGATAGTTTTACAGCAGAATTCTACAAGGCATTCAAAGCATAGCTCATACCAATACTCCTCCAACTCTTCAATGAAATTGAAAGAGAAAGTTCACTACCAAACTCATTCTATGAAGCCATCATAACCCTCATCCCCAAACCAGGCAGGGACTCATCAAACTATAGGCTCATTTCTTTGATGAACATTGATGCAAAACTTCTCAACAAAATTTTGGCCAATCAACTTCAACAATTCATCCAAAAAATCATACACCACGATCAAAC